TCAACAGTTGATCCAACAGTTGAACACACAAGTTTCAGTGTCCCCAATATACGGTCAGTGTTGGTTTTCTTCAGTTTGTGTTGAACACATGCCCCCCCCCCCCGGCCAACGGTTTATAAACAGTTGAAATGTGGTGTCAACATAGGTTCAATGTGGCAAAAAAATTGCCACATTTTTTCTGTTGATCCTATTACAAGCTCGGACCTGAGTTGGCTATTAACACGAGAGTGATAATATATCGCCTTACTATTTATTTTCTGACAACCTACATACACCTGGTTTATCTATTCATCGAGTGAGCAATAGGTAAACTTCCATATGGGTTGCCCCATGACCATACTCTAAAGATAAACCATTTACTACCCGAGGAAGGAAATAAGAAGACTCCCGTGGGGTCATCCTATTGCTTGCTGGACTCTACCTTAACAAGCCTAATATGATACTCCAACAAAAGGGGGACCTGGTATTTACCTGTATCCACTAACTTAATCCTAGTTCGTCCTACCTTGAAAAAGTGGTCGGGTAGCTCCCGTTGGTTCATCCTATTACGCTTTTGAAGATAGGTTGGACTTTGATCAAGGGGTAATAGGAGGTTTCCGTGAAGGCCGCAATTTTATTCGAAGGATGTGATCTTAGAACTTGCTTATACTAAATATACCATAAGTGGTAATTTGGCTTTTTGGCTTGGAAGTCTTTCTGTATTTTTGACTTCTTATTATTCTTTTCGTTTACTTTTTCTCACTTTTCTTGCTCCAACCAATGCTTCTAAGCGAGACATCGAAAGATGTCGTGATGCTCCTATTCTGATGGCAATCCCTTACTAACTTGAATTTTGTATTGATACGTGGATTTGAAATGTTTCCTGGATATTGGAACAATTGTTGAAATGCTTCGACAAGAGCCTCTCAACTACTTGTTTTAACTAATAAAGGGATGCTCCCATGTGAGTTATCCGATCGCTTACATAAGATTGTTTGAAATGATTGATTGCATGATAACTGCATGGATTTTGGAGGGTGGTTGAGTGCTCCTGTGAGGCTACTCGATCACTCGTTTGGCTAACCGTTTTGCCTGGAATTGATCAAGTAGTGGAAGATTCTCGTGAAAATCAGTCCACTACTTGCGTATGCCAGAACAAGAAGAAGAGAAAGAAAAAAGTGAGTGTTTCGACGGGAGTGACTCCAAATGTCATAAAAGAAGTAGAATAAAAGGCAAATACCGCGAGGATAAAAAATTCGAAAAGAAGAAGTTCCGCCTAACCTCAGTTCAGTGATAAACTCATGAGGGAGATACCACCACTGACATAAGTTGATCTCAATCAGACTACCACATAAGCACTAGAAATAATGTGCTTACCCGGATGAAAGAAACTGAGAGGATTGAAAGTGAAGGAAAAACGGTTCCAAATCATCTAGGACGTGGGCATGAATCTCCTTGAAAAGGAGAAAGAGACATATTGAAGGGTTTGTATGAGTAGTAATAGGAATTGAACCTTGGGATATAGTTTCTAGAGTTCGTGATCTTCATCTCAGGGTCCAACCCTCAGAAATGATGGGTGAAAAACTAGGAGGTGATGTTGAATTGTTGTTGACCTGTGTGTGCAGTCTGGGCTTATTTTACTGCTGCACTTGAAGAAAAAAATTTACAAAAGGATTCAAACTTTCTGTTATCATTCGATAACAATTCGGTTGTTACCGATTCAACTTTTCCTCCATGACTTGACACCCACATCTAAAGACAAACCCTGTGGTCAGTAAAACTGTCACCTGTGGTCATTGCCTAAATGATCCTAATCACTCTCAAGGGTCCTTTGAAGAAATGTGAGGGTTACATCTCAGGAAAAATAGAGCTGTCATACATGGTTTGGGGAAGTGAGGGACAAAGTCAGTGGTTGATGGTTGACACCGTTAATGCATGACATGTGAACTGTCTTTGCATTATTATGTGCAAGTCTGTCTTATTCGTGGTTTGGATTGAATTGGGCTTGACCTCGTGAAGAGTCTTGGACACACAACACTTGTGAAAGTGGAAAGAGTTATCGACGGTAATACCTCTATATTATTTATCTATCCTTTATACCTTTTGTAATATTTGATGTTTAGTCAAGTCATGACCTGTTAAGTATAATATAATGCCATAGGTAGTAAGATGATTTGATCGGTACCATGTTCTCTTTTGGCAAGAGAATAACACATTTTAGATTCAGAAGCGGATATAGATAACCTTATAAAAGTTCGACCTGAATATCTAGAAGTCCAGGATTGAGAAATCTCATCATGAACCTGACTTGACTAACGGGTCAGTCCTAGGCGTCTTACCGTGCGTGCCCCATTCATATGCTGCGACGATCGAGAAAACGTCCTCGACCGACCTACTTCTACGAAGGCAAGCAAAATCCTTCTCGTGTGGGCCGGTAGCTTAGCAGGGATGAGAAAAGGTTAACAAATGTCTCTATTTTCATGTTATTTTCAACTGCTTTAGACGGGTGTGAGGTACTTGGACGAAAAAACCTGAAACTGCTTTCAGAAGCTTCAACCACTTCAGGTCATTTCAAAGGTTTCAGATTCCCACCCGAAACTCCTGTAATGACTTGAAAAGGCTGAAGTTTTTGAAAGTGGTTTCATGTCCCCCCATCCAAGCATTTAGATGAGGGGACCTGAAACCGTTTTCATAAGCTTAAGCCATTTCATATCATTTCAAAGGTTTCAGGTCTCCCCACCTGGAACTCCTGAAATGATCTGAAGTGTCTGAACGCGATTTCAGATGTCCCCATCCAACCATTTGGATGAGGGGACCTGAAACCTCTTTCAGAAGTTTCAGCCACTTTAGATCATTTCAGAGGTTTCAAGTCGCTCCATCTGAAACTCCTGAAATAATATGAAGTGGCTGAAAATCTAAAAACGGTTTCAGATACCCCCATCCAACCATTTCGATGGGGGGACCTGAAACCACTTTCAGAAGTTTCAACCACTTCAGATCATGTCAGAGGTTTCAGGTCTCCCTATCTGAAACTTCTGGAATAATATGAAATTGCTGAAAATCTGAAAGCGGTTTGAGATGCATCAATCCAACCATTCGGATTGAGGGATCTGAAACCGCTTTCAGAAGTTTCAGGCACTTATGGTCTTTTCGGAGGTTTC